GGGTAGGTCCGCGCGCGCTCGCGGCCACGCGCAGCTTCGCGGCCCGGCTGCTGCAGGGTGAGAGGGTGGGAGTCCCCGCTTGTCTGCGCCCTCGGTCCTGCCTGCGACTGAGGGCACACCGAGCACTAGGACAGGCGATCCGACGCGCAGCGAAAGAGATGGAAGGACACTCCGCGGGGAGGGTCAGGGGGCCTCTTGGGGGGACAGAGAGTGCACAGCGCTAGCTCGCCCTGTCTCACCCGGAGTGCAAGTGAGGTGGGGGGGGGGTGTACGCCAGAGTAAGTCTGGGGTACTCCTCTAGAGTAGGGACCCCCAGCTGACAGAACCCTTGGAAAGCAGTGCAGTTGGGAAAGAGGGCTGCGCTTCTGCCAAGGTGGCTTGCGAGTTGCTCTTGAGGCTTTCACCTGGAGGTCCTGAAGCTTGCCGGCCTCAGAGGTATGGGCCTCGAGGTGGGAAACACGGACTGTGGGTCCCGGGTTAGTGGCCCAGTACCAGGTTAATGTCTAGGCCATTAGTTCTCCGTGGTGGTCCCAGTCCCTGGTCAACCTGGTGGTACCCTGCCTCGACCACCAGAAGGCTTTGGTATTCTCCTGGAGTTGGGCAAACATACTTCCTTTTCCCGGTGGCCTGGACAGACCAGGTCCCGGAGGACATGTGGCCAGAATGGGAGTGGAGGGTGTTCTGTAAAGCACAGACCAGATGGGTGGTCCTAGGCCAAGGCCCCTTCTGCAGCCACAACTGGGGGGTGCGAGAAGGGCCCCTGGGTGGTGGCAGGCTGCGGAGGAGTTTTTCTGATGTGGGCTGGCTTCACTTCTTTTGAGCTGAGATGCGGGGGGAACTGGGAGTCTCATGCCCTGCAAGGGGTTGTTAAGACAGCGCGCTCCTGGGAGAGGTGAGGTGTGGGAAGGCAAGACTCTTAAAGGGAGGGATTTTAAGCAGAGCCATGTCTTTGTTGGAAATGTGCCCCGGGGAATTGGGCTGAGTTTTTGGAGAAAGCAGTTGAGGCAGGTTTGTGGTACCTGGAGAGGTTAGGGCGGCCCTGCCTGGGGTTAAGAGGGACTGGACGATATTTGTGACCCGTGTGTTGGACGGACCCAAACAAAACACAGCCACTGAGTTGCTGTGTGACCTTGAGGGTATGGCCTCATGTCTCTGGGCGAAATGAGCTGATTGTGGGGTGGGAGTTATCCAGGCCCAGAGAGTGTCCTTCATGGGGGGCAGCCAGGCTGGGGCCAGATCGATGAGGCTGGGGGCTGGAGGTAGACAGATGTTCACTTGAAGGACAGTCAAAGAGACCAGGCCAGCCTCCTACCATATTCCCAGGACGCTTCTCTGTGAATCAGGTGCCATACCAACTCCCACATGATTTTCGGTGCAGCTCACTTTCTGGATGCATCTCTGGATCCCCTGGGGCCTACCTGGGTGCAGAGCACATAGTAGGTGCTTCATAAATGCAGAGAAATCATGAGGGGGAACCTGGCTGCCTAGGGAGTGAGGGCCAGAGTTTTGGGGTTACCTTAAGCACTGTCTTTGAGCACCCCTCACTTGGGTATTGGGAGGCAGGGATTTAGGGATCGGGGCCAAGCTGCCAGCACCCCAGACCCCAGAAGCAGCTAGGAAGGACTCTGCTCAGGGTCGTACTTGCCCAGGTAACTATGACTAAGCTTCTGCTTTTGTGACCCCCAGTAGCTCACGAAGCAGTGGGCAGGTGTGCACTCGGGCCTGTTCATCCTAGATTAGGAGTAGGTGACTCTGGCTACATCATTGATGTCTTTGGAGCTTGGTTTCCTCCTCTGTAGAACGAGTCTATATATCTCTCTCTTGGGGGACTGTGCTCTGTTAATGGTGAAACCCCCATGCCAGCTC